AAAATAAAATATAAATAATTATATGTAATATAAATACATATATGTATATTAATTGTTCATAGAAAAAATTGATCAATTTTATTTTATAAAACTATTCTGTGCACAAAATGTATTTTTTTATTATTAATTGGAATTTTAATTATAGAAAGTTTAAGAAAATTTATATATTCATTTCTACGAATTTTATAAAATATACTCTACTTTTTCCAGTTGAAATTATAAAAAAAAGTAAAATAAACGCTGTATTATATTTTCATTGAAAAAATTAAAATAAAATTAATGATTTATTCATTTTTGATTTTGAAACTAATAAATATAATAAATGATTTACTCTAATTCAATATTTTCAATTTGATTTTACTTGATGAATACCACATATTAAGAAATTATTGATATATGTGTAACATAATTAATTTAATCAACAACGAATTTATAAACAAATATATAAATATATAAAATTATCTAATAGCTCTAAAAAATTGATTTTTCTTTTCTAAACACACTAATTATCTAAATCAATTAATTTATACTTAAATTTTTTAAAATCTTATTCCTTTTATATCAAAATATATCGAGATATTTCACGATTTATGATACATAATATTCGATTTATAGATTTTGAATAAATATTTAATATCAATTTACAATAAATCTTCATGAATATGATATCTTCAAAATTATTCAAATATTTTTCAAAATTAAATGTTTTCTTTTTATATTAACATTCAATTCTAAATATTAAAGAAATAAGAAGACAAGATATCTTGATAAAATTTTAAAGATAATATTTCATTGTAAAGAATACAAATATATCTTTATATATAAAATGAATTTAACATTTTATTTCCAAAAGTCATCTATTATCTAAAACAACTCAATCATTTGTTACATTTTCACATTTTCACGGAAATTTCCTATCGTTTCGCCGCCGGAATCGCAGTCTTTTTATTTACTCTCGTATTACTAAAGAAGAGGTTGGATGCGCATGTAGAGCATCCTGGCCTGCGCGGGCTCCATCGACCCTCAAACCATTTCGTACATATTTCCAGTATGTGTTTGGCGATCCTACTGTGCCAGTTTGATCGGAAAAGGGAACAAGATAAAATCAACATCGATTGGCCAATTAACCGGCGTCCTTTGTCGGACATCGTACCTCTACTGCATTCGAGAGATCAATCGTTATCTCTGTGTGATATTGTGATATTAGTACATCGATTAGACAATTTTCTATACCTGTCATATCACTTGATTTCAATTTTCATTATTTCTGGATAAATATATATATATATATATATAT